GTAATGGTGATGGTGAAACCCAGGAGGCAGAACTGAAAGGATTAAGTGATTGACTGAATTGCAGGTGAAATTAAACAGAAAAGATAAGAATACTCTAGGTTGAGTGAATGATGGCTCTAAGGCCTAGTTGTTAAAATATTAAGATAATTCTCATGGAAGTTCCTGCAAGATGCCCTGAGTATCCCTTTATTGCCCCTTCCACCCAGGCTTTTACCCTGGCATTCCCAAACTGCCAATATGTCCCTCAATCCCCCTGATTAAGAGTTAATGCCGAGTTCATCTGAGGAGGGGTGAGGCTCTAGGATCCTGCTCCAAGGCAGTGGCCATTGTCCATTCTGATTGGTCAGGGCCCCTTCCTGCTGATTGTTAAGTGTTTTACATGCTATCCCTGGATAATAGTACCGGTCACTGACATATACCAATGGGAGAAAGATTTTTGGGAGATATGGAGAGGCTCACCAGAGGTGATGAGTTCCATTCTAGGGCCTGTTTGTATATTCCAGTGGAGATAGTTAGTATTCTTGGCTGTAAAGAAAGAGATTTAGGAATTTTGGTCATAGAATCCAAGAAGTTACCATCCAAAGGAAACATTTTTTCTCTTCAGTGAGTTGATTCTTTGATAAAGTTATCCACAAATTGGCAACTATGAAGTGGAATTAAAACCTTTAACCAGTGCGCTGCAGAGGTCATCTGTGCTGGAAATGCATATTGGCGGAATGTCATAACATTCCCAGAATTTCAGGAAGCCACAGATCTGGAAAGGAGCTTTCTTCTTTGACTGCAAGAGCTTAAGCTTATTCCAGAGAAAGTGGTTGTTCACTTGCTCCTTGAGTGCTGTTAGCTGCAGATAAAGAGACTGCTTATTTGCTTCCCTCTCTGTGATGAGCAGCCTACAGTTTTACTAGAAGCTGACGAGCCTTTAAATTTCCTTTTCTCTTTTCTGTCTGTCTGTCTGTCTATCTATCTATCTATTTATGGAAGACCATAAGGGACGTCAGCGTTTCTGCCTGCAGGATGAGTAAGGATATCCTACTGTGTATTTTATTGGCAATCCTGGTAGCAGTTTCTCCATTGATGGTTTATACGTAATAGAGACCAAACTGCAATTTTCTGACCTGCCAAGATCCATTATGTCTGGTAAATATAGTTTATGCATGGCAGAATCCACACTTAGGGTGGAGAGCCATGCAAATTAAACTTAGGTTTAGGCTAATTTTTGGTAGTGAAAATTATTCTCCCTTGGTGACCTTATTCAGCATAGAATAAAACAACCAGAAAGCTGTTCATGCAAGTCCAGTCTTCTCTCTTTAATCAAAATAATAAAAGCCTTTGGTTCAGCCCAGCTCCTGATTCTCATTGCTCTCCTGTCTTTCATGTAGCCTAATCTTTTATGGTCATAAGAAGCTTTTCATGTGAGTAGATTTGAGGTCAGATAATAAAATACTTTCTTCAGAATAATTGCTCTTGGTCCAGTTTGAGATCTACACAAATTCTGTCTATGAATTTATAGAGGCTGCACTACCACAGAGTCTTGGTACTTTGGCACAAATGTGATTTTTAAACAATTTTCCCCCATTGTCTTGGTTTTTAAAGTTAGTCTTATTTCAGAATGATGTCTCATTGTTGACAACCTGAGTATTGACAGGGAACTCTAGTAATATTGATGATAAGTTATCAACAATCAACAATCTCAGTTGATTGTCTAAGATATTTAATGGCCCTTTGAGGTGATGACTTGTATTAATATATCTGGTTTGTATAGCTTGGTCTCCATTCTTGTTTCAATAGCCTATCTTCGTTCACAGTGGAACAGAAAAGGCAACATTAATTACCCCATTTTATGATTGAGAAATTGGAAGCCTCTTTAGGTCGAGGTACCAGACTTGTCCCAAATTTTGTTGTGAGAGAGAAGATGAGACAGGCCATACCCTCTAGAATTGCCATTTATAGCCTAAAACAGCCAGAATTAATAGGGTGTTACTGGATGCGATGCAACAGCAAGGGACATGATCGTTTTGTTTTCATTTGAAAAGGCATTGTTAGAAACTGAAGTTTAAAAAATGCCATTTGTATGTGTAGACACTAGAAAAGACCAACTTATAGGCCATTGGGAGATTCCATTCTCTGAGAAGCTGCCTTTGGAGAACTGAAGGGATTCAGGCAAGTAGAACCTAAGAACCCAAATGTCTTATGTCACGCTCATCTTTCTGCAAAGGACAAGGTTGTTCTGTTTTACATTGATAAGCATAATTTGTCAACCATTAAAAAAGCACTCCACAAAGATGAAAATTGACCCTATGAAGATCCTTCATAGCCTCCTATTGGAGCACATGTATTTCTGCTGAGGATGAAGAACCTTGCTTTGGTCTGTTCCCACTGGGGTTGGGGTTTAGTTACAGCTCCTCCGATGAAGACCCTGTGTTAGTTCTCAGAGTCAGCTCACCCAGTTGTGTCCTGGACAGCTATGATAGGATATTCTATTCAAGGTAATGGCCTTTTTGATCAAGCATAAGGGAGGCATGTGTAATTCTTCACAAGAAACTAAGAGGAGGATTACCACCACCACCACCATCACCACTCCTCCTCCTCTACTACTCTTACTGTTCTTATCACTAATTTTAGGAAGAACAGTTGTCATTGCTAACCTAAATCTACTCTCTTGTTGTAGTAGCTCATTGGGTGAGAGTGTGCCCAGGCATGTATTAATCACTGGAAGGGGATAATGACCTAATGTCCCCAAGGATGTCTCCCATTGTCACTTCCTGAGACATGCAAGGCATTACCCACATGGCATACGAAATAAAATTCAAATGAAACAAAGAAAGAGATGTGATTCATCTCCTACGCCTTCCTTTAGGAGTAATTCCCAGGAGTAGAGCAAATTTGAGAGGAGAAGTGGGTTTTTGAGTTCCAGTCATGCTACTTCTAAACTCTCCACTGAAAGCTAGCACATCCTCTTGACCTTGAAAAGGTGACTAGATCCATTTCACTGAGATTAAACAAGGCACCGCAGAAGAATAACTATAGGAGGAGCAAACCAGTGCAGTCTCCTCCGGTGCGAAGTGCCACCCACCTGAATGAATCAAACCGTGTTTTTAGTCCATGTTCGGCTCCAGACCTTCAGAGTTCCTGCTCAATTATGCCACCTCATTGTATCCTTGGCTGGTTCTCATAATTGCCTCATTATTGCTGCTTTTCTGTATCATATGCATCTTTGGGTTCACGGCTCAACCAACTCAGCCAGAACTTCTGTAGTTTTTCTTAGCAGACAAATGTAGTCATTGCTCCCCTGTGCATTCCACGTAGGTGATCAAGATGGGAATGCAACGCAGACTTGGCTTATTGGGGGGCAGCTTTGGCTTCGCTTCTGTGCCATAAATGTCACCTCCTTATAGCACTGACAGTAGTTGCTGATGAGTATATTTTCATTCATTCCCCAAAGTGTACTGCTTCCATACCATGTGAATTAGAGTCATCTATGCTCTTTTGCTTTTATGTTCTTTTCTTTCCTTTTCTCTGATGTGTGCTCAGATCATCATAAGTCCCATATTTTTTCCTCTTGGTCTAAGACTTAACATTAGATAATTCAAGGTAGATTGTCAGATTCTTTGAAGACTATTTGTAGATCTAATTCTAGCTTCGTGCTTGGTAGTCAGTAATTATCACATGAATGAATGAGTATTTTCCAACACTTTCAGGCACTCAAGAAATAATTACATTTCCTAAAACAGTGTGAAAACATGTTTAATTGAACTGGTAGAATAAAATATAAACCACATAGCTGTAAGAGGATCATTCAAGAATAGCACCAACAGAATTTTATTTTTATTTTATTTTGGGAAATGCCTAATAAAACAAAAAAATTCCTCATGAAAAGAGACAATTAGGACTCATTTGGTGGATGGGGGTTGATGAATCCTTTGAGGATGTTAGCATCTTACCGTGAGCCGTGTTTTTTTCCCCTGAAACTCATGGGCTTTTCTGACTGAAGAGGATGGGTGGAAACTGTCATGTGTGAAGGGCTGTAGAAAGAGGGCATTGCACACTCCTTGTGACTTTCTTAACACATCCACCAATTTGTATTCTTCTTCCTGATTGATTGTTAGCTTTTTGTGGGGGAACCACTGGAGAGTAGTGTGGCTCTGAATATATAAGAGCATCACTAGATGCATGGCTTTTGAGTATTTTTTTTTACTCAATCGACTTGCTTTTCTGACAAATGTAATCCCAACTTGTCTTGCTTTAAAGATCAGGTAAGGAAACAGAATCAGCCTGGGTTTCCCGTCCTAGATGATTAAAACAAAACCAGAAACACCGCATGGCGTAGAAAGGGTGGGGAACAGAAGTAAGGACACTGTTAATCTTTGTCTCTTCTTTTCCCTGGGGAAATACTGGCACCCAAATATTCAGCAGTAGGAAGACATTTGGAAAGCAGCCTAGCCAAAAGATCTGTGGTAATCAGGAGTCATAAATCAGATATGAGAGGGAGAGACCATATGGTAGGGGAGGAAAGTGACGATGCAGTTCTTTCAGTGTAGCTGTTCAGATGCGGTCTCTTACCCAGTAGAGTAAGGACCTCCATCCTACCTTTTTCTGTTCTCTGTCTGAAACTTCAAGAATGTCAGATGAAATAACCTTGCTCTTTTCCAAATACTTTGGAACCAGCAAGATGTCAGTGACCAGGAGGGGATTCGGATGAGAGCCAAAGAAATGATTAAAGAGCTGGGGATGCCAATGAGCCAGTGGGTGTTTCCTGTCTGCACCTCTCGACCTGACTTAAGAGAAGACAGTCAAATAACTCGATGTATGTTGTTTGGCCCAGGGCAGACAAGAAGGTATGGGCTAACTTGTCTCCAGTTGAGTTGTCAGTTGCCAATAAATTATTGTGTCTTTTCTCCTCCAAGTGGACTGTCAGTATATATATTTTAAAAGTTTTATTGAAAATAGTTACCTCAAATTTATTTGCACTCACTTCCCAGAGTTCCTGAGTCATCGCAGACTCCTTCTGCTCCAGGTCCCCAAGTTTTAAAATGACCTCCACTGCTCCAAAAATCTCTACTTTTACCCAGGGAAATTGTCTGTGGAGACAGAGGTGGGCCTCCTATTTTTCTCCAGACCAAGAGGGTAAGATTGAAATCTATTTCCCTTGAGATACGTCACCTCCCATGCTTATTTCAGTTTCCCCTTTTGGGTGGCAAAATCATTTTAACCAAACCATCTGCCAGGGGCAGATGGGAAATCTGTCTTTCCCATTAGTCACCAGAAAGTGACCCGGGCAGCAGTGGAGGGAATTGGTCAAGCTTCTGCAACCAACCAGACCAGAGTGCTTTGCTCAGTGGTTATGGGGTCCCAGGCAGCTCCCCGGGAGACCGTGAGCCAGTGAGGCCCTGTTTTTATTGGCCACCCCTGTCTCTTAGTCTGGGATCCTTCGTGCTGAGCTTCAGAGCAAGTGAGGGTTGTGGAGCTGTATGTCTGGCCAGGGAAAAGGGGCAGGGGCCGCTAGCATTGGCAGTCTTTAGTACCTTGCCCCTGACCCTCCATATTCATGTTTAATTAACTTCCTAACTTTGTAGGGGAAAAGATGAAATAAATAAGGCCAACTGACCACTCCATAAATTGTTTCTGAAGTTTGGCTGGACATAAAAGTCTACCTTCACAAGCCACCCAACATAATTTATTTTACGACCCCCTCTCGGCATCAGGTCTGGGCTAACCTAGAGTTTAGTGGCTGTACCTCTGCTTCCTGGTGCTGGTAGTCACAGTGTGTCCTTTCTTAGCAGTGGCTGTGGGCCCAGCAAAACAGACCTCTGAAAGGCGAACGGATTAATCATTCTGAAGGCATGCTTGCCTCCACAGTTCCCCTGCAGGATGTCTGAGAACCAGAGAGAGGAGACTGTTGTCATTCACAGGCAGCATAGAGGAATGTCTGAAGACTCACCAAAAGAAGGGAGAAAAAAAAAAAAAAGAATGAAAGTTTTTAATGTGTACATGCTGGAATTTTCATGAAACCAGAAGGTATTACAAAAAAATATATCGCCACTCCTAGAACAGAAACTGCGATGAGTCCAACCTTTTTATTACAATCAGGTTTTCTCTAAATGTACTATGCCCCGCAGGTCAAAATGATTTACTTCTCTATTTTGGGACATCTGAGTTCTATTCTACCGTTGCCAGTATGTTTTCAGCTGTGCCAAAACGGAGCAGGTCTGCGGTTCCTTTGTAACATCAAAACGGAGACATTTATCATAGAGATTTATCATAGGACAGCCTGCCAGATGGTTTGAGTCTTTTAAAGGTGAACTATATGGGCCTTGATTAGCTCATGTGGACTTCTCGCTAAAGACAACTCTATCAGTTGCTCTGGGGAAAGACACTGGATTCGCCTCCACCCAAACCCCTCCCTCTGTTCTTCTAGTAATGCAGAAAATATTAATGTAATGGCAGATGTGGCGTAGATTGTCATTTCAGGAAGAAAACCAAGCCATAACCAATTCCACTGATTGCATTCTAATTATAATGTGACCTCCTGTTGCTTTGCATAGAGACAGTATTCATTTCAGTACACCACTGTAAAACTTGCCGAGTCAACGACCCTCAAAGGGGCAATTGTAACATTTAAGCTTGGATTTTTTTTGCTCATACCAAAGACCTTTATTCTGCCAAGCCTCTGCTGATTGGGCCAGAAAGAATGCATTTGATTATATAGACTAAACTTATTGGGAACAGAACTTTTGTGCTTTGAAATGCTTTTCATTCAAATTACATTCAGACATTCAATCAACATTGATTATGATATGGATTGGCGATGGGGATTGCCTTGGGTTTTTGGTCTGGCTTGAAAGTTTGTTCTGCTCCCCACTAGATAACTGCAACCAGGAAGCCAGCTGAGGTTCCTTAACCTTAAACTTGAGTTTCCCACAAGAGGAGGGTTTCTCTATGAAGACCAGGGTCTTCTTATTCCCATCTAATTCAGTATCCCAAAATCATTTCTATGCTTGGAGATGTTGAGTCCTCAGGGCTTCCAAATTTAATTAACCTCTGGGAGCCATGGGGTATGTGCGTACATTTGTGTTTATGTTAAATAAAGGGAGTCCTTGACTTTGCACATGAAAGGCCAGGAGAATCTCTCTTAGACTTCGATTCCAGGTCGTGGGCTTTTTATTGCGGAAAGAAGCAAACACAGGTGAGGATGAAAGAAGCAAAGATTCTAGTCGTAACTATTGTCTGTGTAACCTAGGGCGAGCCTCAGTTTTCTCATCTGCAAAATGAAATAATAATAGGTGGTCCTGAGGTTCAGTTTATAATATAGGTGATTTGAAAATACTAAGAAGTGATACAAAATTAAAGTATGCTGCTTCTTATTATTATTTACAAGTCGGCGTAGGTATGTGTGTTTGTTGGGAACTTTTGCTTGGAGCTAGACCTCTATCTCTGGAAAAATCGTGGCGAGACCAGTGCTCCAATTAGTTGGCTCTTGGCAGACTGCACAAACATAGTCAAGTTTTTGTTTTGACTTGAAGAGTCTCTTAAGGCCCTTCTAGACTCCAACCTGGAGGTGAAGTTGAAATTCACACAAGAGAAAGGGAGTTGCCAGGGCTTCCTCATTCCAAGCTGATGAAATAGCTCGAGATAACTCTCTTCTCTTCATCCAATCACATGCCATCAGCTGTCACCTGTGTGCAGGAGACTCTCAAATATAGACACCCGCCTCAGTAGCTTTCTTGAAATTGAGCATTTCCAAGTATATAGTTACCTTGGATAGTATTCCAGAAGCTCGGTTCCACATGTTCTCTATTTTTCCATCCGGACAAGTGCAACTGGCCTTTCCTCTTCTGTTTTCCCTTTCTGTTAACTACTCTTCTAATTCCAGGCACTGAATTCAAAACCTTGGGAGCTTCTTTTACTTCCTCCCTCTCCTTTGCCATCCACATAGAACCCATGGCCAAGTCCTATGTGCTGTGAAATCTACAACTGAGAATGCCTTTGAAAATGCCCATTCTCCCTAAAGTTACTCCTTCCTTCTTAAGTCTAATTATTTCCCTCCTGGCCTGTGTAATAGCCTCTTTGATGGTTTCTTTATCTTTGGTTTCTACACAGATTCATTCTGTCCTACTCCTGTATGGTAAGCAACTTCTAAGATGGCTCTCATGATTCCCTGATATTCCCACCTCTTGTGAAATTCCCTCACCTTGTGTATATGATGTGCTTGTAACCATAAATGATGAAAATGTTGATGGGATGTCATTCCCATGACTAGGCTCCATAAGACTGTGACTTCTGCCTTCCTAGAAGACTCTCTCCTTTCCTGCTTGATGAAGCAAGATGCCACATTAGAGAGACCCACATGGCAAGTAACTGAGGGTGGTCTCTGCTCAACAGTGAGGAACTGTGGCCCTCCATCCCCAAGGAACTGAATCCTGCCAGCAACCATGTAAACTAGGAAGCTTCCCTAACTGAGCCTCAGATGAGACCCCAGTCCTGGCTGTGACTGGAGGGCAGCCTTGTGAGACAGCTGAAGGAGGACCTAGCTAAGCTGTATCCATATTCCTGACCCACAGAAACTGTGAGACATTAAATGTTGTTCTAAGTTGCCAAAATGGTGGTTATTTGTTACACAGTTATATGTAATATACCAGGGCAGCCAGTTTACCACCTGACAAGGTCAAGTCTTTGCTCAAAAACACTAAGTGGCTTCAAGATTCTCTGAATTTGCTCTTGAGCTACCTGTCCACACTGCTTTCTGACACTCCTTCATGAGAACCATCAGCTCTGTACTGTACATATTTCTGGCTTTCTGCCTTGTACCCTTTGCTGACATTGTGACGATTTCCTGGGTTCTCTTTATGACTAAGTCCTATATATTTTTTAAAATCCCACCTGAATGCCACCTCTTTCATAAAACCTTTTGTGGTCCCTGAAGCTGTATAGATCCCTGCGCTGCCATGGTTTTGTACCCTAGGTCCATCTTCATTTTTTACCTTCCAGAAGAGTTGTTTGAGGGCATTGTCTTCGCTCTACTTTGGGATTGCAGATTTTATGAAGAAAGAGGCTACTCCTGATTTATCTTCACATGTCCTCAGAGATCCCGGCATAGTGACTTGTGGACTGTATCCTCTCAAGGAAGAGTTACTCACTCATGAAAAGCAAGCCAGTTTGCTCACAAAATAGGCAAAATAGAAGTGGGTTGTGGAACTACTGGTTTATTTCCTTGCCTCTTCTTTCATTCATTCCTTCACTGCCTACCGTGTGCCAGGCATTGTCCTAAGGACTGGGGTAAGACTGGACTCGTTGGCGTTGTGCTTGAGGTTCAGTGTTCTGTGGTTGCCATTTTGAGATTTTTTAATAATTTTATCTTTGGATCTGTATGTAGTAGGTACAGCCCGATAGGACAGTGGGGTGTGTGCTGGAGGCTTAGAATCCTCCCATGTCTCCTTGCCTCCCTGTGTTAGAGCAGGCAGAGAGCTATATATGCACAAACGGGGGCATGGGCCAAATAGCAGGAAACCATACATCTTGTGAACAATGGGGGAAGTCCTTGGGTTGGCAGAGAAAAGCAGGAAACTCCAGACTGGTAAGAAATCACACATGTTGGGGGTGACAGGTATTCTGGAGACAGACAAAGATGGGAAAAGATGTAAATCTCCATTGTCTGAATATAACCTTTTGCTCATTATGCCCTCATTACAATAAAATTAGCTTTGCAGCTAAATACCCGTCATGTGCTGACACTGTGACACTTCTGATCAACACTAAATAAGGTCAAAAATCCCTCTGCCTCTTGGAAAGGTGGAGCTGGGACGAAAATCAGGGAATACAGCCCCAAACCCCTCCCTCCTCAATGAATATTCTGCCCATTCATTTTTACCCCCCATAAAACCAGCTTGAAAGAAACTCAGGGCAGCACTCACCTGAGGCTGCCCACTCTCCCCTTGAGAACATACTATCACTTAAATAAATCCACACTTTACGTTCTTGACCTCCACTCATGTCACGTCTAAGAACTCTTTCTGCGATGAGACAAGAACCTACTCTCCAGTAATACCTGCAACAGGTTCTCAACCATCCATCCCCTTACTTTGCACTCTTACGGGGGCCTGGGCACAGATATGGGAAGAGTCAGGGCAGGGATTGTGTGCCCACATGCCATGCCATGGCACTGGGCAAGGGCTGTGGGCACCTGGGAAGGTCTGTCTTTTCCCCACAGTCAAAACGCAATATTAAATAGCAAATAAAAATCACAGGATGAAAGGTGGAGAGAAAGACCACAGAGGAAAAAAAAAAACTTCTCTTGTTTTTTGAACAAGGAGCCCCCCAATTTTCTTTGTTGTGGACCCTGCAAATGACGTAGCTGGCCCTGACTGGGAGTTTATGGAAGAGCCAGCCAGGCAGGAGTCTGCTTCAACAGACAATGGACAATAAACAAGATGACTTTGGAGAGTCTTGAGTGCTATGGAGAGAGGGAGATGAGGCAATGTCTAGTGAGTACCTGAGTGTGGTGGGGGAAGCCAATTCCCTTCAAGAGGGTGATGGGGAACCCACTAAGGGAAAGTGACATTTGAGCTGACGTATGAAGGAGGAAAAGGGTTAGGCCCCGTGAGGGGTATAGGGCAGGCTCCAGCAGAGGAAGCTGCTAGATCAGACTCCTTAGGGCTGAACCAAGCTTGAAGGGGTCAAGGACTAGGCACAGAAGCCAGTGCAGGAGATGCCTTATGGCCATGGAGGAGAGGAGACGGGTTGGGTTGACAAAGGCAGGATGCAGCTGAGTCCTTTAATGCCTGGCTTGCCGTGGTGAGGGGAGGTTCCCCTCTCAGCCTGCCCAGTCTGTGCATCTGTGTTTTCTCACCAAAGAATCACTAAGGAGGGGTTTTTATTGCATCGGGCTGTCCCTGAAGTTTTTGCCTGAATTTAATTCCTTCTTCTGTATCAGCATAGCTCTCCTAGATTCTTTAACACAGGGATTTTTTTTCCCCACAAAGATATGTAATTTAGAAAGGATGTAAATAATCATATGTAGGCCTAGGAATTTGGAGTTCCTAGAGAAAGCTTTGCACATGAGACTCTGTTTTCCTTCTCCACAGAACCTCAAGGACTGTCAGATTTGCTCCAAGGGTCATAAACTGGCACCTCCCGGCTCAAATCTAGGATCCAGAAGTGTTTTATTTGCTTTGCAAGTTACTCTTGACCCAACTGGGGTGCCCCCACAAGGGCTCTCCGAGGTCTCCAGATAGCTCTGTCCTCCCTTCTCCTGTTGCTTCCTGCTTGCTCCTCCCTTTATGCCTGGACTCATCTTTTTGATGCTGTCATTAGAAAATGATACTCTGCAGTGTAGTGCAGACCTAGAAATGTTGGTGTGTCGTAGGGCCACGGAACCAAAT